ACCAGCATTCAAGAAAAGGTTTATGCCACAGCGGTCAGCGCTCGGCAGACTACTACTTCTTTCATGAACTTTTGTTCCGCTGATAGCCAAGACCTTTAATGAAAGATGAACGAACTTGACCCTTATAGGTGATGAGCGAAATTATTACACAGTTTCTTGCGGTGGCCTCCTTGTCCAAAGGTGGGAGTGATATAACCGGTGGTGGACCAAATGGTCAGGTGTCTTATAACGAGATACTCCCGAGTAACCTGGCACCAGAATATTTAGAACAAATTATCCGACACTTGCTTTACCGCACTTGCCTGGAAGCGTGGCTGTCACCACACACACCACTCCAGCTGTTTACATAGTGGAATACAGTGGAATATTTCTTAAGAGAATAATAAAGCCTATCCCCACTATCTTCGGTATGTCAAAATAATTTCAATTAAGGAAATTCTGCCAGAATTTTGAAGAAATAAAAGCGTTGCAAGATGTTATATAGGCTCTATGTTTAGTTAAGGAAGGAGTCCTTACGACACTTCGTTTATTTTTCAGGAAGTGCGCATACCTAAAAATTGTTGTTGTTGTTGCTGTAGAAATTTTAAGCGTCCACATTACACAAGTCCAGTCGAATCAAATATTTTGGAATGCCAGTTCTTATTTTACTTGCTTGCCGAAAATGACGTAGAGTAGAAATATCTGTAAATATTCTCAATCCATTCTCCATTGCCTATTTTCATTTTCTTACTGCTAATCCCGATTGAGTGCTCCCAGTCTTATGGTCATCTCTGTTACAAAATTTATGTATAGGTATTGCTGCGTCGATATATCAGCCGAGTACTTGACAGATGTCAACACAAACAAACCAAAGCATATCAACGCCGCGAGCAGAACTCCCTCCCAGCAGCAGGTCCAATGCGGAGCAGCTGAAGCAAACACTTTGAGGCAGAGTAGCAGTAGCGATACTTCTTAATTGGTTTTGTTGTGTGCGTTGCTTGCTGTTTGACGGTTCATTTATTTTCATCGCGGATGTTGAACATGAATCCTGTCAACAGCAACATGGTATTAAATACGTACATATGTAAGAAGCAAATGTTAAAGTTCGCAAAAAAAATTCCAAGAAATTGTATATTAAAGTATCGAAGTACATTAGGCTGCATCACGCTGCCTACAAAAAAAAATGGTACTACATAAATTTAGTATATGGATTTTAATAATTCCGCCAAATTTGTGCGGAAAAATATTAAGATTTACGTGAGCTGGAACAAGGCGCATCAATTCAAGGTGGTATTGATTGAACAGCTGATTCGATAAAATTTGTCTCTACACTACTACAGGAGAATGTCATCCAAGACGAAATGGCGTAACATTAGGATGCCAACAAAATGAATTGGTGAAAATTTTCTCCTATTTTCTTTCGTTTTGACATCCTGATGTACCAAAAAGCAATAACAATATACACGGGATTTTTACTTACATATATGCAATTGCCACCACCTTATATGGATGCGCCTTGAGCTGAACCTATTTTAAAAACCTCCAAAAATCGAGTTTTTTTCTAAATAAAATTAGGTTTTAAAATAGTTTTTTCTAAAAATCACCTCAGATGATAGTTGAGTTTAAGCTTAAAAGTTCTACATAAAAATGTTTGAAAATTTTATCAACGGAATCAAAATAATGAGAGTTTCTGAGGCATGGGCGTAGCCAGGTAGGGGCAGGGGGGTGCTCGAGCCGCACGCCCCCCCCCCTAACTTTCCAATTTTCCTTATATATATATATAAAATAGTACCTTGAAATTCCAGCTTAATAGGGTCGAGCCTTGCGCCCCCCCCCCCCCCCNCATTTTCAAATCGAGTTGAGCTAATGTTAATCTTAAAATTTTTCCGAATAATTTTGACGGAAGTGTTAAAATACACTAAATTGTATAATTCCGGCGGAAAAACCGCAACTATTTTTGGTGATGCACCCTAATGTACATATGTTTGTATGTGTTTCAATAAAGCAGGATGCCTACACATATAAGTACAATTTAATATTTATTAAATTTATTATTATTAAGCTGAATAGGGTGCAGTTGTTAGTTGACCACTTCATAGCCAAAAATCGCCAAAAAAAACTCTTTAGGAAATGCATGCACATTTGGGCTTAATAATCACAGTATTCCCTCCAATTAAATATTAGGGATATACAGGGTGTCCTAGACCACCCGTCCACCCCCTCTGAATGAAAGGTATGTTTTTTTATTGAAAATAAGCAAGAATATTACCTGCCAAATCGGTAATGTCAATATTTTGGTGGTATTATCGACTTCCGGTTTCGACTTCCGGTTTCGACCGGAAGTGGGTTAAACTGACCGGTAGTCCATTTTTTAAATAGACCTACATGTTTTTACAGATTCGGATTTTGAGGATAAAAATACGTAGCTCTTGTTTGAAACTTTTTTCTTGGAAATGCCCTTTTCAACCTCTAAATGAGCTTCGAACTTCAACTCGTCCTAGGCTTCTGGGTCGTATTAGGGAAATCGGAACTCGACAATACCACCAGATGTCGATCGACTGTTACCACGATTGGCAAGAAACTTCGAGTCTTAATCGAAAAATGTGTATAACCCAGCCCAAAAACGGTTTTACAATTTGTGCATGTTCTAATTCCCAGCTCCTGTTAATGCCAAAGCCGCCCTGGAATAAAAAGAGAGGAAGTAAGGGACTATGATTCCACGATTGAGCCCTCGGGATCCGTCCAACAAAGGGGAGTCTCATCATACCTAAACTCGCCTTTCCACAGACATTGACCCTTGAGCCCCTCTAAGCATCAACTGGCCATCTTCAGGTGCATAGTACCGCTACATTCACTTTGTTGACGAAATTATTGACTTTTAAAAATACTGCACTCCATACAGCCACGGGATGCCTTCTGATATCCACTGAACCTCACTTACGTACTAAGCAAAATACGCTTTATGTCAAGGGACACAAGACTATAGTTTTCAAACAGTTTCCGCACGGTTCCTTCAGCTAGTAGCACCCAAACCCCTTCTTGGAAAAGAACCGGTTTCCAGGCACGTAAGAACTAACGGACGATAGTGTACAGACAGGACATCGACGAAATTTACCGAGAGGCAGTAACCAACGTTCTAAGTTATAGCCCCGTGAATGGCATCATAGCAATTCCAGCACCGCATCTAGAAGCTTCCTAGTTTCCTTGTGGCATCTGCGTCAAATACTTGGCATATTGTTTAAGATTAAATTCCTAGGAAGGAAGCCCCGTAGGTCCCTAACCAAACCCCTCAAACCTTCTTTGCGAACTCGCTTTTCTGTTTCGTCCAGCCCCGTCTAACCCGCGCGTATCCCACTTATGCCGTTAATTGAGCTAGGCAACAACGACTAACGACCTAACCCATATGGGAAGGGCGAGTAAGCCGCTACACAGAACCCCTAGAATTTTGTGCGTCTTGCTGAAAGAATCCAATTTGGTAGACTTTGAATAAAATAAGCTGGCAATCTGAAGACTGAACCGCCTTAGGCCAAAGACAATTAATAATATTATTATTTTGGAACTCAAACTTTTGTTAAGTGTTTAGCCGAGCTTTTCCTACGATTTGTTGTGGTCGCTTTGATGGTGTTACACAAATGGGGGGACCTACAGTCTTGTGCCGCCTCCGAACAGTAAATGGATTTTAGGAATGGATTTTTCAAGAAGCTTTTACAGGCGATGGTCACTCGTGGCAGACGAAGTTCAGAGTCTGCAACAGGGGGTGATTGGGCATTCATAGGGCAAGGGTCATGTTAGGTCGTGACCGACGCTCTATGAATGCCGCCGATTACTCTCGGGACGTCGTCGAGTCTAGCGGTTGGTCGATGTAAGTCTGGACCGTGTTCGCGTATTCGAAAATAAACCTTCTGACGTGCTTGGGCGGATGCTGTTCCTCAAACAGGTGTCTGTTGGGATGCTCACGCCTGTGACATCCCACCAGAAACTACTTGCTTAGCATATTGTTATGCTCTCTAACGGGAAGCATTTGGGCCTCACTATGTAGGTGGTGCTCAGGTGACATCAGAAGGCATCCTGTCGCTATATGGAGTACCGCGTTTTGGCAAGTTTACAGCTTCGTCTACTGCGTCCAAGTAGTATCCGCTGACCATGAATGTGAAGTATTGTTCAAAACCCGTCGGTCGAGCTTATGTGTTGCTAGACACGTTTCTTTGTCCTTTGCCCCAGGTGCTGCCCCCGCGCGACGTGAGCACTTTTTTGCGGCTCTGAACTTTATGGCTAATTGCGGTTGTGTGCGCGGAGAAAGAAAACGGGCTATCAAAGGTAATCCCTGAAATTTTCGGGTTGTTCACCGTCGGAATTTTTGCCTTGTTGAAGCCCGGAGATAGGGATTTTTGAGAGGGTTAGGCCCCTTGCAATGAAGAAGTGATAAACTTCGGCGAGGTAGCCGTTTACTTTTGAGTAGAGGACAGAGAAGGGAAAGGAGAATTGAGAATTATGATCCTAAGCGTGTTAATTGGTTGGAGGCCTTTTTGTCCCTCCAAATTAAAGATGTTTTCCCTATCATTCCCACGGCAGTCGGGTCTAAGTAACCCGAACGAGCCTAATTCGTATCTGGCCAAGGACTGTCATTTCAGCATCATTTCCCAAAAGTTCTTAGAGGGATTCGTATGATTTTACAATATTTTTCTGCTGTTTCCCTGTAGTCTTAGGAAAAGGATAATTGAATTCTTTCGTATTTGCTCTTTCAAGTTGGAAGTTATTTTTTTTTTTTACCTCACTCAAATTAACCGATACTATTCGGAACATTTTCCGAATAGCGAAACTAAGAAGCCAATAAACCTCTGTAAAAATTAAAATGATTCCAGGCTAAATCCTGTAGGTCTTCACTTTGTCAGTGCGTTGTCAATCTGATTAGACCCTAAAAAAATAGTCCGGTAAATTACAAGGAAAATAAAAAATTCCGGCAACACCCACTAACAATAGTTGGCAACGCAAGTTTTTCACTACATCCGGCAGCATTTCGGTCGTGGAGCAAAAGTCGAGTGCCGAATTTTGTGTGGCTGTGAAATTTTAATTGAAAAACACCTTAAAAAAGTGTCAAACTACACTAAATACTCAAAGGTTGAAAAATATAGTGTGCAGAAAAAAGTGTAACAATTCAATTTCGTTGAAATATTAAATATTTTGCGGTGAAAAAGCTGTGAAAGTGGCCGCGTTTCGGGCCGCCTATAAAATTTTTCCTTCAGCATCGATGATTAAATTAGTGCTCCGCTTAGAAGTCTGTGTGTAAGAAGAGTATTGCTGTATTCCGATCGCCCTTCATTTCGAGCAGTGTGAGCGAAATAGTACAACGAATTAGTATGAAGTGAACGTTGCTAATCTTTCGAAAAAACCAAAAGCAGTGCGAAATAAAAAGAAAAAACACACGCACTAAAAGCTGTCAAGTAAACGTCAATTGCCCGATTTTGACATTTTCAACGTTTGCACTGTCTGATGTAAAAAAGTTCTGGAAAAAATAATTTTTTTCAAAATACAAGTGAAAACAAAACGGAAAGTTCAATTAATTGCAAAAGTTAACTGAACGAGCAATTAAACGGGCGCAATCGCTTATAAATCATAACCTTTTTCTGTGATTTTCTGGCAAATCCTTAGCTGCGCTCGGGCGCTACTTCTGCTTACATTTCATCAGCCACAATTTTCAGTGCTCCGTTAGGGTTCTGCCATCGATTCGCAAAATGTTAATAAATTTAAGAGTAAAAACGCTCGATGCACAGACGCATGATTTTAGTATTGACAATGAGGTAAGTGTGCCGTGGCAAAGTGGCAGGAAATTCCTTTAGCATATACGATTGGGTGTACCACTCCCTTGGTTGAGGGGGGCGGGGGTAGGAGATGTCTGCCAGTCCTCGCCCCCGCAAATTAGATGCTTTATGATTGTGTGACTTTTCAATATTCGTGTGTTTTTTTTTATACATTTTGTAGCTTACTATACGGGAATTTAAGGACAAAATCGCTGAAAAGACCAATATCGCAGCCGACCAACAGCGTATCATTTATTGCGGACGTGTACTTGCTGATGAGAAACAATTGAAAGAATATGGTGAGTCAATAGATATGAATAGCAAAACATGCTGAATTCACTTATGCATAGATACAGTGAAAACTCAATAGTTAAAACTGGCGTTGCGTGATGATTTTCTTATGATAGCAAAAATTCATATGCACAATGTGGTCAGTCAGTAAACGATAAGACTTTGACGACCCAAAGATTATCGGGTGTCAAATTTTTGCAAAGAGCGTCATTTGATATTGCTTTTATATTTTTAGATGTTGATGGCAAGGTTGTACATGTGGCCGAACGCCCACCACCATCGCAACGTGGTTCCTCGACTTCCAACTCATTGTCGAACGACACACCGAATGCACGTGAGCGTCCGGCCAATCGTGCTGGCATGCGAAACTCGCCACTGTTTCGAGCATTGGATGGCATGGTCGTCGGCACCATGGCAATACCAATGAACCCTGTAGTATGTATTTAGCTAAATTTGAAACGTTGGAAAAATGTTAAGAAATTAATCGTTTTTTTATGAAAATAGCAAAATAATAGTCAGCAACCTGTAAATCCCTTTGCTGCTTCGTCTTCTTTTTGTATGAATCGTATAACAGTGGCTCGACACATGTTAGATTGTGCAAACAATATTGCGGCTTACTTGGAAGATCCGGAGAGGGTAAATACTTTCTGCCCTGATATACATATAATTAATCTTTAAATATTAAACTCACATTTTTCCATAGGGACTGAATAATACCTCTTTGGATATACTAGCACGTGGCAGCTGGACAATGGAATCGACGGTGGTTGAAGTGGGTTTCACCGCTGCCGATTTGCCACAAAACCAAAATATTGTCGAAATGGTACAGGACGCTGTATCTGCAGCCTTGCGTCGTAATAGTAATACCAACGTGACTGTCGTGCAATTACCAACAGTGTTTGGTTCCAATGAAGGCGAGGGAGGCGCCGCGATTAGTGCTGAAACAACTGCTGCCATGGATGCCAGTGATGGCGGCGGCGCTGCAGTTGATGCTGATGCCGCAGCGGTCATCATAGAGGATGTAATTGATGATCCTTACGATGGTGTGGGTGCTAATATCAGCGTTTCTTCCGATGCTTCTGGCACAGATGCTACAAACAATACTACTACGACTACAAATCCAGCATCAGCCGATACATCGGCAGTAGATACGTCGAATGCGTCTACCAATACGGCGGGTACAAATACCGAAGAGAATGCTTCCCGAAGACGCACCAATACACGCGTCTTAGCCGAAGTAGTCGATCAAATGCGCACCGTGCAAACTCGTATGAATCCGTTCATTCAGCAATTCTACGAATTATTAAATAACGACCCAACCTTCGATGAAGAGGTGAGTCAGAAAATTAAATTAAATAAACTAAAATTGTAAAATATGCTTCATTTCAGGATACAAATGAACGCGAGAGCGCACAACGTCTATACAATCGTGTTTCGGAAGCGCTTCATTACATGTCACATGCTCAACACGCCATATCCGATCTGATGTTGGACGTATCACAACCAGCTCCACGGTTTCTCACCTGTCGCCCAATACTGGTCGAGCAAAGTGGCTATGTTAGTTCCAATAATTATTTATCAGCTGCTGCAGCGGCGGCAGCTGCGGCCGCAACTGGCAGCAATCAAGCGCGTCCGCGTTCGCGTACTTATATAACACCACGTTACAACCACCCTGTCACTATAACAACCAGTTCACCACCGACAACAGCAAGCGGTAATGGAGTAGCTACGGGTAATGCTGCCGGTGCTAACACAGCTGGTAATAATAGCAACAGTGATGAAAGCAATCGCAATAGCAACAGCACAAGTGCTAGTGGCAGCGGCAGCGGCAGTTCCATTGAGGATCCTGTCGATGAACCGTTGGTCAATCCCAACAACACTCCAAGTACAGCGGCAGCTACGAACGCAGCCACGCAAAGCAACGGTAAGTAGAAATATGTCACACGGCTTACATTTGTATATACTGTATTTTTATTTATTTGCATTTTACAACTCTTGTAGATGGTAATACCATAGAAATTATGCTTCAACCCAGACGTGGACTGTATTTTGGCAGTAGGTTTTTTATTTATCTTATATAAAAGCTGCAAGTGATTGTATCGTTGAGCTTCGTTCAGTTGTTTGGGTTATGCATAGACAAACTCTGCGTATTCTGACTTTTGACTAATCTTACTAATCATTTTCGATGTTAAGAAACACTCGCTAGTTGATAACGATAAAACTTATTTAATTTGAAAAGCTAGGGAATCCAAATATAAATTGGTTAAGTATTTAAAGATGTGCCTGAACGATGTAGCCATAACTGCCATTGCCTTAACCACTTCGTCCCTCACTAGGTATTATCGCAGCAAGTTTTAAAATTGTAAAAGGCGTGCGTACGAAAGATTTCTCCTAACCTGGTATGCCATCGAATTCTAGCTCCCGAAGCTTTCCGCTTAAAGCCAAAGAACGTATTTATGCTGGCAATCAGGGATCTGAAATTGTCATTCGGTAACCTGATAGACGGAAGAAGTGGGAAGAACACTTGGATACTTTCAAATTCACCTCTGATGTGAGTAACTTATGATTAACTCCGTCAACCCGATAAATCACATTCTGTGAGGGCTTTTGGGGAATAATGCTGGCGTGGCAGTCCTTAGCCTTGCCAGAGCTATTTGATGCTAAACCACTGTGATCCGCAGTTCCTAAATTTATCCTCGGTCATTCTGATCCTAACAAGAAGAATTAAACAGTGAGTCATGCATTCATTCCGAAGCCATTAGAGGAGGCCACCTCCTTGGTACGTCAGAAGGTCGCCATCGGAGCTCAATCACATACCATCGAATACCTTCGTTACCTCGACTTCAGAAGCCTTAACTACGTATTCCTTAAACTCACTCAGATAACACCCCTTTCTGGATAGGCCCTCGGCGTTTCCTGGGTCTACCTATAGTTGAGATGGGCGACAACGATTGTTAGACTAGCGGATTTAAACAGAGCTTAGTAATACCTCTACAATAAGCTGGTCGGTTATGTTGCGTAAATGTGTTCTGCTTTCCGTATGTATTAATCTACATAGTATGTGCTAAATTAATAATCGCCCTAAAATGCTACTTCTGAATATCTCGTTATAATTTCCGAAACAATTTTATGTAGAAAAATACCATACATTTTTCTAATTCATTCATCTGTGTTTTACTTATTATTTAGGGCTTTTTGCAAATTAGTTTTTGTTCTAATTACTCAAAAAAAATACTATAAGCATATTTTATACAAATAATCATATTTTACATTCCTCCCCAGATACTCCACAAGTGCAAATGTCGCGTCTAATTCAGGCTATGGTGAATTCCGCGCCCATCAACACTGAACTTCATGTACAAATTTTGCCACCCTCGCTACTGAGTGTCGCAGTGAATGCGCGTGGCAATAATGGGAACAATCAGTCACAGTCAGGAGCTTCAGCAGGAGCAGCACCAGCAGGTTCGGCAACAGCCGCCACCAATAACGATACTACAGCGAATAATGGCAATAACAATGCCAATACTAATGGCAATGCTAGTGGCAGCGCCACCACCAATAACGATCGCAACAGCAACGACTCGGCAGCTGCGGGCCTAGCTGCGGCTGCCGGTAATCGTCCTGTTTCTGCATCATTAGCAATTGGTACTTTGCCAACAACATCGACACAAACACGTTCAACATCACGACCCCAACTGCAAATTGGTGGCATACCGGCAAATGGCTGGAATGGACGCTTTATACCCGCAAATATGATGTCATCATTCGATCGCTTCCTACCGTGTAATAGTCATCACATTCGCGAACCAGAGAATGCTAGCAACAATAGCAACGCAGCTAATGCGAATGCGGCGACAAATAATTCCAACCCTCAGATAATAAGTGAGTACAAAGCAAAAACAAGCAACTCCAAATGAATTGTCAAAATAGCTGAAAGTGTCAGCAGAGTAATTTTAATATTTTTCATTTCAAAAAAGCAGTTTTCGAAAAGCTTCCACCTGCTTCAAAGTTCTTTTTTTAGTTTAATTTGGTTTCAAGACACTTTCCGCCATTTTTAAACAAATTTCCATTCGGAACTTTTTCTAATCTATTAGCCACGAATACGATTAATCCACGGCCATTGCGTTCACTTGTTGAACTTACGGATCTGTTGCCACGCGTACGTTCCTCACCCACAGTAGGTGGTTCGTCCTCGTCTACACCGCGCACGAATGCCACCCCCACCCCACCGCCTACGCTAACACCACGTCTCACGCCAGGCAATTTCTTCTCTTTGCGCAATTTAATATCTGGTCAAAATCGCAATGCATCAACCACTGCAACAGCACCACCCGCAACCGAGACTTCGGCTACTTCCGGTAGTAACGCTACTAACACAGACACCTATCGTCGTAATTTGCGCACCCAGTTACTAAATTTTGTCAACCAGAGTATTTTCGCTGGTGGCCCAATCAATGAGGAGACAGTACCACCAGCTGTAAATCGGGCAGTTGACTGGTTTGCTGAGTCACTCGAGCTGCTGCCACAATATGAGAGACCAGAATATGACTCACGTCATTCGGTAGCCAATATTTTGCGGCACATGCTACCTCTTTTCATAGAGATTGTGCGCGATGAACAAAGTAATCCGGCAGCTTTTGAACAGCGTATTAAGAAAATTTGCGAAGACTTTGTCAAACGACTTTACAGTGTTTTGAATGTGTGTGTGGGTCGAAGTAATGCTGAACTATACTGGGCACAATTGATGCGACTGCTGTTGGTGCCGACGCGATCATGTAAGTAGATATCGAAGTGGTTATTTAAAAAACTTAAAAATTATTTTAATTATTTTGCACTTGATTCTAGATTTCCAAGATGAAGCTTTACGTTTCTTAAGCATCTATATAAACACAGTTATTCCATCCGCAACTGACACAGCTGATGCACAACAATTTATTGTACATAGAAATATACCAATATCATCGGAGCCAGCCAATATAGTAAGTCCGAGTGTAGACAGCATTTTCAATAACAAATAGTGTTATGCCTGAAAATATTTGCAAATTTTGCCGGCTGATTTACTGATACATCGCATTGTTGTCGTATAGTTAGTTCGTTTCTTTATAACACAAAGAAGGAAAAACGCGGGCAAACATACAAAGGTATAATGTTCCATAACGTCGAACTAGACAATGTATACTTTTCCAAAACGCATCCGAAAAGTTATTGAAACGCATCGCTGGAGTAATCAGCGCATCAGAAACAAAGTTGATGCTCCGTTCGGTTTTAATTGCGATTGGTGTCGCAGAAATGGAAAATTGCGAAAGGTTATTCATTATTGTATTGAATATTCAAAATGTGAAATGTATGTGGTTACAATGTTTCGCAGCTCTGCATATACATACAAACAGTTTAAATGCCACAGTATAACGGTATCCAAACATTGTGCTGGTACGTTTTGGAGGGCAGCCTCTTTTATATAGATCTCTCATGATACTATTGTTTTTCGATATGCGTATCCATATTTTTCGACAATTTTATGGCTCTATTTATCGATATATATTCATATACAGAAATCCTTAGTTAAATTAGTATTTATTTTAGATAGCATTTTCGACAGCTGTATCACTCTACTTATCGATATATGTATATAGGAATCTTTCATCATTCGTTTTTTTTTCTTATCAATTATTGATAGCGTTTCCATAAGCCGGAACGGCAAATGATTTTATTAGAAGCTTTTTCAAGGCAGAAATGCACTCGGAGGTTTGCCATTGCCGACCGAGCTGCGACGTTATTAGAAAAAACTATGGCCTTTATTTTCGATTCGAAGTTAGACACTCGTCACGATGTACGTAAATGTCATCTTCTTAAGATATTTATGTTCAAAAGCAAATATTTTTTTGCATATTTTCCATTACATAAAAGTAAATGCTCGCATTGCACTCACCATAATCTACCAGGAGTCATTTGTATCTCCTCCATCTCTCTTTAAACTACAGCCATTGGAAACTGATGTGGAGATGATAGAAGTGGCGTCAACATCCGAAGCTAAACCGCACAGTCAATTTGCAATAGATATAGACGATGACGATGATGATGAAGACATAGAAATCGAAACCAGCCCAGCCGAACCGTTGCCCACTGTTACCGCCGGCTCAGAGTCATGGCATAGAAATTTCCCCAATGACTGGTTGCCAATCATAACCCGTGATTTAACCATACAAAGTGCAGTAAGTGTTTGAAATTACTTTGTGATATAAGTCCTTTACGTAATATTCTTTGCTTAGAATCCGCCAAGTCAAACTCCATTCTCGGATGCGTACATATCAGGCATGTCGGCCAAACGAAGGAAAATGATACAAAACAATAAACCGCCATCTGACGTGAGCTCGCTAATCGCTCGAAGTGTACGCAAAGCCATACAGACTGTTGGACCACGTGCGTCTACGACTGCTGCTTCGGCTGACGGAACGCCTACAGCGGAAGAGCTAACAGAAGCTATCGCCAACGATGCTACGGTACAAGCTTCATATACGGAAGCGGTGCGCACGAATGTGCGCGAACGTTTAAAGAAAGACTCCGATTACAAACCCGATAAATATCCGCATGCCGCGAAATTTGTAAACAAGTAGAATTTGTAGGTTGGTGCTTTTTAGGTAATGAGCAAACAAAAAAAAAAACAAAAACAACACAAAAACATGCATAAAAAATATACATAGCATGTATGCAAAATATAAGAACCCAAACGAAAGTAAGTTGTAATAATAATAATAATGAGAAAAGATGCGAGAAGAAGCGGTAATGAGGAGTTGCTGGTACTTGTTATAAACAAAAAAAAAAATATATATATATCTTGATTATGTCTATATTTTATTTTTATCAGTTTTTTTTAAGTTTATGCTTTTTTCATATTGATAAATTATGCATTCAGATGAACACAATAACAAGAAAAAAAAACATAGCAGTAGAGGTAAAAAGCATATACATACTAATCAAAAAAATTGTACTTTATACGATACTAATATTAATATAAAGAAAAATACTAAAAAAATTCACGCATATTGAGAATTAAGGTTAACTAAGGAAGACATCCAATATACAGAGAAGTAAAACAACAGGCGAACAACAACTATAACAAGATTCACATTTATGTATAGTGCATAAAAAATAAGGCAAATAAAATATGATCTAATGCAGTTTTATGTGCAAGTAAAATGCTGTGTCTGTCTCACTATTATGGCAGTGTATTGTGGACGGCGATGGAGTGTTTTTATTGTTAATGTTATAAACCAAATTGAAACAAAATCACTCAATATTCAAGTATTGGAACCCGTGCTTTAAAAAAATCGATAAACATTCCCTTGATTCCAAAATGTGAAAAATGCAAAGCATCAGCCTATTTTATTCCTAAAGTATTGCAGAATAAAAAGTACAGTTTGCGCAACCTTACTTGTAACTACCATTCAGGCGTGGTTGCGAATACTGGGCATTTTCAACTGCTGTCTTCTTGCTTTCTTTCTATACACTTTGGAATTCAGGCATACTGATTTGAATTAACCAGTTTTTGATTTCAGACCACAAAACATTGATCCTGATTTCATAAGAATCCAGTAATTACGCGCTTCACAGGAAAAAAGCGTAGCTAAGTCATTTACAAAACCGATCTCCGACGTGAGTACTTTGCAGACAAAAAGTATAGATAATCGGTATAATTAAAAGTACTTAGAAGTAGTCATAGGCACAAAAATTAGTATCCATTGCTGACTTTTTAGATACAAGCATATATAGACAAGTAGCCCCGCTGACCTGTTTAGGCAACGATTTATAACAATTTAGTGTTTTTTGAGGTGAGAATTGTAACCATCTAACTTTTTTTATTTCTTTTCAGTACGTGAATTTGGCAAAGAAAGTTAATACAAACAAGAAATCGAAATTAGAATGAAATAAGATTAGTATGTGCTTAAGAAAAAATAGGGACCATTTGCCATAGAACATAATTGTTTGAATGAATGTCATTAAAGAACTTACAGAAATTTAAAATCTACATATCTAGAACTCAAGGTAAGTGACTACATAAATATTTTTCTTAAGTAAAAGGTCTGAAAATTTAAGAAAAAGCCATTGCTTAGTTTTTATTCATACGCCCCATTGTGTCTAACAAAAACTATAAAGTGCAAATTTCAAACTTTGTACAAAAATTTGAAAATTTCAACAAACAAAAAAAAAATCGTGCACCATGGATAGTAACTCTGTTGAGGAGTACAGTAATTTATGCCGAATCAGGTTGTACAGCATGTCCGCTTATGCAGTGAAAAGCAACCCGCAAAGAAAAGTTCTTTCACGGCTAATTGAATAAANCAAGAAATCATAAAAAGGCGACCCTATGCAAAAATACTTTTGACTCAGTGGTGTACGACGGAGATTTTTCTGGTACAGTCTAGTGTGCATGCGAAAACGGCTGTTCACTTGAGTTCGAAGAAAAGTTAACCAACCTTGTATTCAAGACGGCGACGATGCATAATCCCATGAGTCTCGTAAATGAAGCTTTACCTTCCAGGTGGCTTGCCTCAGCATAAAAAAAAAAATGGACCATTATGCTGGCAACATCGTCCTATTTTNATTTATGCCGAATCAGGTTGTACAGCATGTCCGCTTATGCAGTGAAAAGCAACCCGCAAAGAAAAGTTCTTTCACGGCTAATTGAATAAAGTACTATTCCGTATAGATATACATACAGTGACGAGCAAAACTGTAACATGGTTTAACACATTTTGTTTCAGCCACCGCTATATTTCCAAGTTCTAACGACTTTCATCCTTTTGTTGAATATTCTTGTTGGTACATCCCTACTCCCTCTNATTTCACGATACTTTTATTGTTATGAAAACTTTAAATTTTGTACGAATACTTACACATTAGACTGTGAGTACATGCCCACTCGTACATAAAAAAAAAAACTTTTTGCCAATACCAGCCCTAGTTCATAGTACAAAAGCGCAAAACGTAATTGATAAATTCATTCATTAAATCTGTTGAATTTTTACTTTTAATCGCATTCCTACGCTATCACCGGCACATGATGTTATGACGACAGCAATAAGTGCTTCTCCATTTCGCATACTACACATATTGACGTCCGTAGTCTTGGAATTCGGTTCAATTTGTTCAAGATGCCGAGATACCGAAATGGCCAAAATAGAAATCAGGCGATTTAAATAATATTTTAATTACAACGATGGCGCCTACAGCGTGCGCTGTCATTAAATGATTCGCACTTTAACCATAAAACATTTGACCAAAAGGTCGCCCGAGCACTTAAGGCAAAAACTATAACATACTTGTATTTATATGTATGTATGTGTTTGAATTCTGCAAAGAAAGTCATCCATAGGCTAAATGCTAGTGAAATGTTAGTATGTGTCGTGATCATAAGTATGCACGTATGTATGTATGTATATTTATTGACAATACGTCATTGTTTAAGAAGTTATTGTGTTTGTATGTATATTAGGGTGGTCCTTAAATGTAGGGAGCAAATTTTTACATCCGATTTCCTAAGCCTCAACCCCTACGTCGATGCTACTATAGTCGAAGATATCACATATAAATTTCGGTCCCGTTTGGAGACGGTTAAGTCGTGTCGCACAGTGGGCAAAGTTCAGATTACCCTATGACGACGTCTTAACCGACTTCAATCGGAACTAAAATTTATATGAGATATTCTCGACTTTAATAGTTTCGATTTTGGGCATTAAATTAAAAAACTTATTTTTAATTTTTGGAGTCCTTAGAGGCATCTGACTTTTGACCCCTTTGACAATCCGGACCAAAGGTTATAAGCGATATCTTCCACTACGGTAGTATCGATTTTGGGTATTAGATGAAAAAAAATGTATTTGATTTTTTTGAGTCTCCATAGAGAATCTGAACTTTTCCCCCTGTGCGACACGCCTTAACCGCCTCCAATCGGGACCAAAATTTATATGTGATATCTATGACAGTGCTGTTACCGACTGAATAAAATCGTTCATTTGAAATTTAAAGTCCACCCTAATGTACATACAGTGGCGCTCAGGTATATAGTACACATTTTTCTACAATATTCAAAATGTTTTACGTGACATATTTTTTTCGTAAATTTTTTTTCTTTATAAAAATAAAGTAGATATTTTTTTATATGTTTTATATGTTTCTATAACATAAACCATATACCCTTGTGGTCAGCTGATTAAGTTAAGTGACATTTTGGTCAGTTTTGGCTATTTTTCTTTTGTCTATTTGATGTTTATAATTTTTTTATAAAAGCCTAGCACATTACATAAACAGCACCACACAAATCCACATTTCAAACTTCGTGCAGAAATTATAAAAATTCAACAAACTTTAACAATTTCACCCAAAAATTTTAAACTTTTTAATCAGAATTTTTAGAAAGAATTTAGGTATAGAGATTTATAGCTAATTAAATTTTAGTAAGTTAAACTAAAAATTTCACGACGCCAGCAAATCGCGTTGATTTCTTACGTATTTTCTAAACATTTTTAATAAAAAGTCTTCATTTTAATAAAAAGTCTTCACTAGTGAGAACCAAAAAATTGCTCTCAAAGTGGCTCTCAACAGCCCGAAAACCAACCAAAGAAACACAAATTGACCACTTTCGGTCACCCGCGGGCAAAAGAACAGACTTATGCTGGATTTCCACTAGGCATTAAATGGCATTAAAAAATATTCGAGTCGTTACGTTAACAAAATAGTCATAAAGTTCATTTCCACTTGGAATTTTTTAAAAGGCCCCATTGTCATTTGTCATTTCAATGCCTAGTGGAAATTCGGCATTAATGTGCAGGTTCGAAAACTCTGAAAAATCCCGTTGATTTTTGTTAATTTTTTTTTGCTAACGGTGTCACGCATTTTCTTCCATACAAAGTATGATCAGAAATATCGTTTATGTGAAAAAAAGTGCACAATGTGTGGAACTGCAACGAAAACTTGAAAGACTGGCCAATACCCGTTTTGGCTTTTTTGGGACCAGTACACTTCGGGAATCGGTCCGGAATAGTTCATAATCACTTCGTAATAGGTTTCGAACTACCCCGAAATGATGCCGAGCTAGTCCCAAAATTGTTCTCAAAAAGTTCGGACAAAGTCATAAACTTTTCGCGAAAGGATCTCGAACCAGACATGAAACGGTCCCGAAATGGGCCCTTTGCTTGTTCCAATATGATCCCCAACCACTCCTGTAATAGTCGTGGGCTATCCCGAAATGAACCCGAAGTAGCCTGGAAATGGTCCCAAAATGAACCCGAAATGGTTCCGAGCTAGTCCCGAAATAGACCTAAACTAGTATAGGAATTTTCATTTGTACAAATAAGAAGCAATTACAGATTTGCAGATAGATTATATTGCATATAAGCCCTCGGATATGTTTTGACAGCGATCCAGGTTCAGTTGTACAAGGGTGAAAAGCTCTTAAGCGAACAGTGATTTTTGAACAAAGTGCAATGAGCGGGCTCAACATCAATCTTTGGGAAAGCTGTAGCGCCAGTATTTTTCAAATAGGACATTGATGTGATATAGTATCTACATACATACATACATAGAATTTTAAAAACATAAATTGAGTGCCATATAGTTTGACCATCACTGTAACTATAAGCCATTTGTTTGCAAGTAAATATTTTAGGAATTTATCTCATGGCCAGTGTTGCCAGTTTGGTCGTTTTTCAGCTAGATTTAGCCGGCAGCCGATTTGTTAGCCGTTTTGCAAAAAATTAGCCTATTTTGCTAAAGGCCTTATTTTCTTAAAATTCAAATACATACATAAGTTTAAATTTTTACAAATTTTGCGACCAAAATCTATTATCTCTAAGAAAATTTTCACTTCGAACTGTGTTATATAAAATTAAAATAAATGTTTTTTCTAATCCGAAAACTCCTAAAATACTGGACCGTTTTTAATGATTTTTATTTTAAGCGAATATAGTACATATAAACTGTGACGCGACATTTTAGCAAGTTTTGACTATTTTTCTTCACTTTATTTAATGCTTTTTTTTATGAAAGTATAACGGATTATCGAAAAAACACCGTTTAAATCCAAATTTCATGCTTTGTGCACAAATTATGAAAATTCTACAAATTTTTACCAAAATTTTTAATTTTTTAATCAGTACAAATTTAAAGTAAATAGCACATACTCCGCTGAAATTATCGAA